TCCATAAGTGTGTTCAGGTGCATCCAGACCTTCATTCCTTGCTATCCATTGTACAAAAATGGCAATAAAAATGCCTTTCAATTTGTACTCAAGATCTTGGCAGTCGAGCAGGGGATATCAACAAATGCACACCTTTCTTAAATATAGTGTGATCAATGCTAATAGAAAGTGACTTCAGAAGAATAAAAGAAGCTGAAGGATGGATCCCCTGGTGTACACAGGTGAAAATCAGGAGAGGCTCCATTCCAGGTTGTTCATGAGAAAGGGCTCAAGATTCTGTACACAGAAGTAGACACAGCCAGGCCAGGGTGAAGGACCAGCAGATGACACGTGGTAGGCGCTGAGGTAGATGGGCAGGTGTCGAGGAGGTGTGACAATCAGTGTGTGACTGATGTGATACGTGAGTGACTGAAAATGTCTCTTTTGTGATTTATTTTTTTTCTGTATTTTTAGGGAAGGGTCTATAGGGTGTTCAGGGTCTCACTACTAGATGAGACTTGTAGTGATCTGCTTGTTTACAGCCTCCCAAGAGCTGGATTACAGATGCGCACCATCACACCCAGTCTCAATCTCTATCTCAAAGTGCCCAGGGGCGGGGCCTGCATGGGGGGGCCCGGGGATTGAACCCCCCGTCCTGCGCCTGTTTGCAGGCAATTTAATCTGCTGAGCTATTTGTTGGGCCCTCTTTTGTAATTTTAAATAAACTAAAAACCAAAAAAATATATATATATAAAAATTAAAATGAAAGTACTGTGAGCACCATAAAGCCTGAAAATTTAAGTAAGAAGTTACAGTCTTAGGATTTGGAAGCAATAAAAAAAAGTCACAGGATGAAAAATGCCTTAGGTTTCCTTGAGCATGGAAAGACCGCGAGTATAAATTGGGACTATCATGATGCTGTTTGCAAATTTTCTTATCTAGACCTCAATGAGTGCTTGGTGTATGGCACATGTTCCCAGCAGTGCGTAAATCTACAAGGATCATATAAATGTGTGTGTGACCAGAATTTTCAAGCCCGAAATAACACCTGCATAGCAAAAGGTAAGTCATAACCATTATTAGAAATGCTATTAGAAGTATCTTTAGGGAAAAAGATGTTTTCTATGCATTTCAGTGTTAGCTTTATTTCTGATTATATGAAATAAGTATATTTTTCTTTCTAATTAATTTGGCTGTATGATTAACATTCTTGTTTAAAAGATTAATTCTCTCTCTCACACACACACACAACACACACACACACACACAACACACAATGTGTAATACATTTCCGCAATCTTTAACACCATTTCTTTGAATTGGTAGCCTCGTAACTCACATTACTGTTTCTTTATAGGACACACAGTGACACTATAGCCAGTACTCACCCCAGCAAGGTTCTGACCCCAAAACTAAATCTTCCTTTCCACCTGAGCTTTGACATATTATCATTCTTAAATAATCTGCCTTCATGTGGTACATAGACAGGACTATGAAATATGCTGCTAGTATTAGAAGCACTTTGTGCTACTGACATTTTGTCAGGAGGAGTAATAGTTTAAATGTTATCGTTGCAGTGGAAACCACAACAGACCTTTATAGTCCACTTTCAAATGATATGCGATGTTTTTACATTGCTAGGATAAAAACAAGAGGCTAAAGTTTAAGATTTTAAGCAGAATATGATTTTCATAAGGATTTTTAAGAGAAATATTTCTTTAAAATTCATATTTCTTCCATGTAGCAGTGTAATTTTTAAAATTATAAAGTATGGCTAGCAGACTTTTTTGCATATAGATCTTATTGTTTTAAAATATAGATATAAACTATATAAAATATCATGCAATTATTATTAATGATCATATACATATAAATAGACCATATTTATATATACTATATATTTGCATATATTATGTACATTTAATATGAAAATACATATATATTTTGTAACTTGAAGAATTTAGTTTCAGAGTACAAGTGACTATTGTTAATAGGATTGTTCTCTGGCTTCGGAGATAGCTCAGTGCTATAAGCACCTGCCTGGCAAGCACAAGGACGCATGTTCGATGCCCAGCACCAGTTGGCGAGCCAGCCCCATCCCCGCCCCAGCCGCGCCAAGCTGGCCACTTAGTCCAGGCGCAGGGGCTCACTCCTGTAGTCCCAGCGCTGGGGAGGCTGAGACAGGACAGATCGTCCTTGCATAAGGATAGCAGCCGTGCACAGTGCTGGTAGAGCTGAATCATAGCACTGATTGTCCTGACTGTGTGGACAAAAGAAAGTCGTGAAATTGTTTGAGCCTCAGTTGCTGGTCTTTACAATAGGGATATGAATATATTTTATGTCTGTTCTAAGAAGCATGGACACATTAGCATAATGTGTGACACATCATAAATATTCATGAAAGGAAAGGCATTAGATCTATAGATCTGAACCACACTGCAGTATATTTTGTATTTATTTATTTACAGAAATTAAATTTGCCATTCAATTTCTTCTTGCACTTACGTTGATTTTAAGTAGTATTTTTGTATTTTATTTTAGTTTTCACTTATTATAGTTAAAATGATATTAGCGGTATATTGTAGGTGTCAAATTTTTAAGCTTAGGAGGATTCTAGACAATTTACAGTTTATGGCTCTCTCAAAAAATAAAGTTGGAAATTATAGTGAAATAAACAAGGAAAAGTCTTTCTCATCTTTTTGATTTTTTAGTCAAAATAATGTTCACTAAAGCACAATCAAATGTTGAGAAACTTTCCAGGCTTAAAGAGTTCAGAGGGCAACATCTGACTACTGAAAACTAAAATGCTGCAACATATTATGTTGTGACTTGCAGAATAGTTAAACTCTGTTCAACTATTAGATTTTTTAAAAATATTGGGCTGGGAAGATAGCTTGGCTTTCTGAGCACCTGCCGGACAAGTGCAAGGAGCCAGGTTCTCTCCCCAGTACCACATGCCTTGCTTCCTACGCACTGATCTGGGTTCTGAGACCACTTGTGGAGACACATGCTTGCAATCCCAGGGCTGGGGAGGCTGACACAGGAGGATCACTATGAGTCAAAGCTGAGTAGTGAGATGCTGTAACAAATAAATAAATTAAATTTTTTTAAAAAAACTCTAAGTTATATCCACAAAGGAAGCTTTGCAACAGAAGCACCCATGTAAATATTTATTATAATTGTTAAAAGCTGAGCATAAAAGAATCAATACTAAAGGAGATATTAATTTTCTTGAATTTAAGGAATTGTATTAATAAAATCAACTCAAGATAAAAGTATAATCATGGCTTTTATTTTAGCTGAAATTTACTTTATTTTTGTATTTTATTGTAATAATCTCCAGGCTCTGAAGATCAAGTTCTCTACATTGCTAATGACACTGATATCCTGGGTTTTATATATCCATTCAACTACAGTGGCGATCATCAACAAATTTCTCATATTGAACATAATTCAAGGATAACAGGGATGGATGTATATTATCAAAGAGATATGATTATTTGGAGTACTCAGTTTAATCCAGGAGGAATTTTCTACAAAATGATCCGTGGTAGACAAAAAAGGGAAGCGAACAGTGGCTTGATTGTAAGTAAATAACACTGAATATGTGAGGACTGTACCTCCCGCACATTCTTTTGCTTTTTCGCTCTTTGTAAAAAGCACAATGTCTGCTGATAGCAATTATAGTGTTCATTCCTCTCAATACCTTTCTATATAGCCATAAAACATTTCTAGTTTATTCTTATGGAAGCATATAGTTTACTTTAAGTGCATGAATTCTTTGAGTATTTGCATTAGTTATATGTATAAAAATGTCCACGACTGATCACTAACATTTTTTGAGTAATTTGTATTTCATTATCCTTCACAACATATTATCAACATAACCTTTTTTCATTGTAAAAAAGAAGGTAAAAAAATCACTATTTTTGCCTTAAAAACAAATGTAAGGTGGAGAAAATTGCTTAAAATCTAACAATATCAAAAATACACATCTAGGGCAAATGATCACCTAGAGTGTAACTGTATTTCTAACCCCTCATAACTACACTTCAGAAACATCCAAAACAGCGGCAGTGCCTAAAGGTGCACGATGGACATGTTGATTACTGTGCTTATTCTTTCTGAGAAAAATAAACTAGAATATTTCTGTTTTCTTTTGGAGAATGCCGAGTTATTGATTATTTGATATTTTAGAGTAAGCTGAAGGAAAATGACAAAAAACACTTGTGTTTAAGGAACTGCAGATATCCTGATACAATTGAAAAGCCAAGTGCCTTCTCAGCAGTATGCAATTTGAAGTTTTATATTTTAAAAGAGCCATGTATCCATCTAAAAGTTCTCAATGACTTTTGCACTGACATTTGTCGTAAAGATTTGGATTAAACAAATGCCACTTGATACATTCTGAAGGATGTTTTAATATTTTCAGTAGTAGATAAGCTATGTTTAAAATAAACTTTATTCTGAATTCAAGTTTAGATTAAGTAAACCATAAAAATTCACATATATTTACACTATTTCTTCAAATTCTTCTCTCCAGTACATATCATTTTGCATTGATTTTATTTCTATTTAGAACAATTTTAGGACAGAGAAGAAATTTAGCACATCACACTTTCCTCATTTGAAATGAAGGAGGAAATTATATAT